CCCGCCCCGCCCCCGCGGCCCCCGCCAGCCCTCCCCCCTCCCCGCCGGGGGCTGCGGGCTGGTACCGGCCCCCCGCTCCGTGCCCGCCCGCGGAGCCGCTGCCGTGTCCGCGGGCGCTCCCCGCCCTGCGTGGGGCCGCGTCCCGCTGAGCTCGCACCCCTCCTTCTCCTCAGGTCTACTCGGCTCTCCAGTGGATACACTTCACCATGGCCATGCTCAGGTACAACGGGATGCCGGGATGGAGTTACTATTGCAACGACGATTTTCTCTGGAAAAAGAGAAATCACTTATCCCAGCGAGGCAGACGTGCTCCTGTTCCAACCTGTGCTTTGTTTCCCCAGTGTTATTGGTTCCAGCTCAATTATTGCCTACGCCGTCTTTCAAAATGCAGTGCGGTCCCCCGAGGTAAGGTCTGTGCCTCCTTTTCCCTCCCTAAGTCGAGGTGTCGGTACCTTGCAGATGGGTTGTGCGTGTAGCAAAGACCCGCAATGGTCAGGAGCAACTGCAGGTCCGGGTTTATGTGGTTAAACCTTGTTTAAGAGCTGGAAGGCAAAGAGCTTGCCAAGAGTTTGGCCTTTTGTCGGTGATATGAGTTGAAGGGACTAACCTTGAGCTGCCTCCACGCAGGGAGAAGCAGGTTCCTTAGCCCCGCGCTTTCTGCCGCTCCGGGAAAGCCCTCCAGTCATTCAGACGCATCCTGGGAACAGGGATTTGTTAGCGCGTCCTCCTCTGTGGGACAAAACGCCTGGAGGGCTGAGGGGCTGTGTACAAAGCTGCTGAAGTGCAAATTGGAGGTGCACCTGTAGGAAATTTATTTACAGGTGTCCGTTGTTGGGTATTTCTGAGTGGTTTTTCCAGGCAGGTGTGCTACTAAAACTGATAAAACTGAAAGATGCTGCAGAGTTCAGACAAAAGGAGCCCAGGCTGAGCAGCAGTTCGTTGTGCTGGGCTCCGCAGCGGGGCTTTGAAAGATTCACCCTGGCTGCACGCAGGAGCCACCAACATTCGTAACGCTGAAGCAGCGGGAGTCGGGTGCAGACTTCCCTCGGGGTGGGACTGTCCGCACGTGCGCTGCGGGTCTGACATGGACGCGGTGCCCGGCACGTCCCGAGCGCATCACACGTGCAGGTCGCGTGTGCGAGGAACCCCGTGCCTCTGGGATGTATCAGAGGTGCTGAGCAGGTGGCTGGCACACGCGCAGTAACCGTAGACCTCCATCCCAAGCCTGCCAGGCTTTTGCTGTTCACCCGCAGTCCCTCTGTCTGTCCAGGACTTACCGGAGGCAGTGCACAGAGCTGACCTGTGTGAAGCTGGGGTTCGTTGTCCAGGATTTGCAGATGTCTGGCAGCCTGGTCTGTGGACCACGCAGGTAGCAGGTTACTGCTGAGAGCAGTAGGACAGCAGAGCTGGCAGCTAAGTTGTAACAAAGCTGTATTTGCACTTCCCTCGTCTTCAATGTTCTTTGTACATCGTGGGTTTGATCTGCAGCCCAGAGAACAGGACTTCCAGGGAATGCAGCGAGTTATCCCCGGAGAAGGAAGGCATGCAGTGAAGCGAACAGCTGACACATCATTGGGTGAAGTAAGGCAGGGAGGAGAACATGAGTCCAGGTTTGCAGGGCAAATTTGCACCCCTTACAACGTGCAGGGCAGTCTTGCTCCCAGGCAGCCAGCCTCCTGGAAACGTTCTGCCCAGCACATTGAGAGTGAGCTGCGGAGATCTCCGTGCATTCCCAGGGAGGAATGAAGGCTGGGACTTTGCCTTAGTGCCAGGATGGAAAACCTGCCTGAGCTTGTGCTGCGCAAGGTGCGTATCAAAGGCTTCCTCTACCGCATCTCCTGCACCTGGAGAGCTCCAGCCACAGTTCTCTCCTGGGGTCCTCCACTCCGGTATGATATGGAGCTGGGGTTGGCAGGTGTCCCGGTGTGACTCAGCAGCCTCGGCCCGTTTGCTTCCATGACTGGAAGTCTGCATTACTCAGGAGCCCTTGTGCTATTAGTCATATGATGCGGCTGTGGCTTGGGCTGCTTGTGAGCCACACATGGCTCCAAGTCACAGATGGACCCTTCCTGCTTGAGGGACTCCAGATGTGTCTGCTCAGATTATTTCTGCAAATCCGGATAGGAGGGATGGATACCAGCTGGAGCGACTTGTCTGCATCAGGCTTCCAGGCTCTTGTTCTGCTGCCAGGGGAGATCCATTGCTGGTGTTTCAAAAGTGGCAAAATCTTCAGTAACTTCCCCATCGCCTTGTCCCCACGTTTCTGGTCTTAAGTGGAAATTTGTAAACAAAGGGGCTGGAAGAGATCTGTATCAAAGCTTGCCACAGACAGCTTATTCCCTGAGTCATGAGGCTCCAGAGTAAAATGTTTAAAAATAAACAGCTCTGGAGGCTGGGAGGAGAGCAATGTTATAAACACTTCCCCTCCTGCCCCCAGCCTAGGAAATCAAATATTGCATTCTTGAAGCTTGTTTTCTGTCTCTACGGGGTCAATAAAACTCTTCAGCCTGAGCTAAATCGTTCAGAAGAGATGATGGCAAGCAACGAACAGAGAATTTCCTCTGTCATGTCAACAGGTTCTGTGCAGGCAGATGTCCCTGGGCAACAGCCAGGCAGAGCTAAATCAACATGTATGCTCCAGCCTGGCAGCTCATCTGAATCATTACGCCTTTACATTCCCTTCCTCTATTTTGTAAATACCATTTGGTTTTTTTTTTCTTTTCCCTTTTGCAAGGAAGAGCCATGCTGCCTTTCTCTTACACTGTGTCACCTACTTCTTCATTTAGGTCTGTGCCAAAATAGCTCCTCGACCAACCAGTGGTGCCTCGCTCCGAGGACACTTGTTGCTAGAGAAAGGGGTCCCCTTTTTGATTGCAAAAGTTGCTGCTTTGCTTATTTTGGAGCTGCTTGGTTTTAACCTGCAGTGCTTGC